ATGAGAAACACAAGTCCACCATCACTTGGGACCTGCAGGCTTAATATTAGCAATGGAGTGGCCATATGAAGCAATTGTCTGGAGAATTGTGCTATACCTGAAGAATAGAGGTTGGTTTCAATGTGTCTGACTGGCTTGGAAATAAAACACAAATAGAGAAAACATAGAGTTTTAAAACTAGAAAGGATCTTTGCAATAATTTGGTAGGTGAAGAATCTGAGAGTTGACCAGAGATGAGCAGTTTGCCTAGAGCTGGGACGAGGCAGAGCTCAGGAGCCCATGTCTTGCTCATGTTACCTTGAAGCTTCATTCTACATTTGCTCCATGGGCTTTCTCAGGGTCAGCATTAAACGTGGCCTTTATCCCAGTGAATGAGAAATGAGTTAAGAACTGGAATAAAGGAAGGTCCTATTAGGAACAAAACTCCTCAGGTAAAGGTGGGGGGCAAAGTGAGACCTATGGGGTTTGTGTAAGAATTCATTTGGTAATGTGAGGAATTTGGTAGAAGAGGCAGAACTATAATTGGGAAGTAGGAAAGAAGAGACTAGGAATAGTCATTACCTTCATTATTGTTATCAAGTGATTATATGGCATTTCATCTTCAAAACCTTTTGCAGACTTTAATTGTCAAGTGCAGTCATAATCAAAATTGCATAGATCATCTGGAAAAGTAGGATGTTGAAGTTTGGCGAGACATGTAGGAAATATATTAGAATTCTCTTATTCTGAAACATTGTTGGGATATACCTTATTCTAAAGCAATGGTCTCCCTTAAAAATTGATTAAGAAATGAAAGCCTTGTTATGATAAGTCTTCTTAACCCAGCTGTTAACTCTCCTTACTTGTGGATGAGGAGATAGACAAAATATGACGAATGTTGTTATTACCTTGGAGAGTACATGAAAGAAACAATTAATATTTTTGAGGTTCACTTCTATTTTATTTTATTTTAATTTGTTTAATGTTTATTTTTGACAGAGACAGAGCACTAGCGGGGAGGAGGGGGACAGAGACAGAGAGGGAGACACAGAATCTGAAATAGGCTCCAGGCTCTGATGCGGGCCTCGAACTTGGAAACCGGGAACAGTGAGATCATGACCTGAGCCAAAGTTGGATGCCCACTGATCCGCCTAGGCGCCCCTGAGGGTCACTTATTTTATTTTATTTTTTTTTTTATTTAAATTTTTTGTTTTTCAACGTTTATTTATTTTTGGGACAGAGAGAGACAGAGCATGAACGGGGGAGGGGCAGAGAGAGAGAGAGACACAGAATCGGAAACAGGCTCCAGGCTCTGAGCCATCAGCCCAGAGCCCGACGCGGGGCTCGAACTCACGGACCGCGAGATCGTGACCTGGCCGAAGTCGGACGCCCAACCGACTGCGCCACCCAGGCGCCTCCTGAGGGTCACTTTTAAATGCAACATCTGAAAATGAATACATCCCTAGTATAACCCACAGTGGACTCCTTTTTCCCCCTTGAGACTTTCATGACTATCTGTCCTGTAAGAGTACATTTTGACTTTTTAAAAGGTATTATGTCGATAACAATGCTTGCAGTGTTTTTATTCTTCAAAATATGAATGTCTACATCAAAATTAAAATATAGCAGAAGAGCAAAAAAAGCAACATTGGTATATCCCATACCTAGGGATAAATGAGACAAGGCAGAATCATAGGGGATGCCTTTCACCCAAATGTCTATTTCTTTATTCTTTCATGCACAAAATAGTTCACTCCTGCCTTTTAAGGATTGAGCATTATAATATTCTTGCTTCCAAGAGCTAGGATTTTTCCTTTCTACACTGTACCTGTGTTTTCTGGAGCACTTCAGGGATGGAAGAAATGACACTTTCATTCTTGTAATGAGGCACCATTAACCAGCAACCATTTGTAAGGGTGTAATTTCAAACTTCATTACAGATTTAGGTAGCCACACAACCTCATTACTTGGGAAAATGTGCTTCTGTTGTGACTCTCCAATGAGCCTTACATTTTTAATGCACCTTGTTAGAATATTTATGAGATAGTATCACCAGTAGAGGGCATCTGTCTCTGAAACATGTGGATGGATGTTACCTGACAGGGTTTCACTGCCCTCACTTTAGAGTCTTCTGTTAGAAAAACAGAAGTTATAGGTACATGCCATAGTCTGAAATTCTTTCCGATTTAGTTTTCATTACTAGCAAGGTATTGGAACTATGTGTGGTCATGTCTTTGTCTTATTTTTATTTTTACTTTTTAATTATCAGGGTAAAGTCTCAGTATGAAGGTAATGAGCTAAAGTCCACACTGGAAGAGAATGAAAGTATAGTAATTGTGCTTCCTTTTAAATGTCTATCCTCTGGGTAAAGTATATTTGCCATGCTGGTAGGCTTGACCTCTGAAAAATATTAAAAGATGCTGACATCCTGGTGAAAAAAATTTAACATTGTGAAATTTAGTCTTGCCCATGAACTGTGCAGCAAATTGGCTTAGAATGGAAGCTATGGTCTAAAAGACTCCAGGGTGAGGAGTTAGGAGACCTGGGTTTTATGTGTTTTTCTGGGAAGTTGAGGTGTGGGTTCCTGTGGGAGGGGAAGTAACTCCTGCCAGCCTGACATATTCCCATTGAGTGTCTCTTCCTAACTCTGGGTCCCTCATGTCCTGGGAGTGTCCAAGAATTGTTCCCCCACTGGACTGTCACATGATAACATGGAGTGGTTCAGAGATTGTAGATTCTGGCTATGAAAATACATATGTGTGTGTGTGTGTGTATGTATATGCATGTGACATTTTCAAGTGGGAATGTTTGTTTCAAAGAATAATAATTATAATCTCAAGTAGTATACATTCTCATATTTTTCTTTGGATCTAATTTTTTTAAATGTTTATTTTAGTGAAAGAGAAAGAGTGGGGGAGGGGCAGAGGGGAGGGAGAGAGGATCCCAAGCAAGCTCCACACTTTTAGTGCTGAGCCCAACACAGGGCTCGAACTCACGACCTATAAGATCATTGAAATCAAGAGTCAGATGCTTAACTGACTGAGCCACCCAGGTACCCCTAGAAATTTCTAATATTAAAGTCTATAGCAATGTATATTCAATTTTAATTTCCTCTGTACATGCTGTGAGAGAGAGAACTATGTTTCTGAATCTGAAACATGGCATCACTGTATCCTGTTAATTTTCATATAACAGCCTATTAGAAATGAAAGCTTTAGTGAGGAAACACAGTTCAAAGGCTTGAAGTGTGTTACAGATAATTTTTTACCTAACACAATTTCTCTTTAATCTAGAGAGATTTAAATAGTTTCTTCTTCATAAGCTACTATAGTTTTTAACTTGAATTTGCTTAACATTGTCTTTAACTTATTTGTGAAATGAATTATTTGTCACCCATCTACTGATTTGCATTTATAAACAAATCTAGATATCCACCCCATGGTCTGTACTAAGTGCTGTTCACAGGGCAACCAAAAGGCATCTGTTAAGAGAGAGAAAATGTCTCCAGACTTGTCTGTCTGTTCTTCTCAATTTTTTTTTTTGAAGCAGTTATTCTCATATAGTCACAGTTTTGTGATGATGACCTTACAGTTCCATGCTGCTGTCCCACACCCTGGGAGCATCAGCGTGTGAAATGAATACTCCAGAGCAACTTCCTGAAGAACTAACAAAAACTTTAAGTTAAATATTCAAATAACAGGTGTTTGATTTTTGTAGAGAATACCCATGGCTTCATAGAATCATTGCAGTGCATTTCAGACAGGATTGCTTTAACTAATACTTCTTCCCAACCTGTCCCCTGCAACACCTTACCTCTGTTATTAGAAAGACTTGATACAGGAGCACCTGGGTGGCTCAGTTGGTTAAGTGTCTGACTTCACTCAGGTCATGATCTCACAGTTTGTGAGTTTGAGTCCCATGTCGGCGCTGTGCTGACCACTTACTTGGAGCCTGGAGCCTGCTTCAGATTCTATGTCTCTCTCTCTGCCCCCACCCACTCACACTCTGTCTCTCTCTCTCAAAAATAAATAAACATTAAACAAACTATTCAAAAAAAAGAAGAAGAAGAAAGAAAGACTTGATACACCAAAAATCCAAAACTTCTGCAGTGTGGTGCATGGATAGGCATTGTTAGGTTCAAACAGAATTTGAACATTCAGAATTGGTTGTCAGCACTTGAAAATTGGAAGAGTTCACTTTAAAAGCCCAAATTTGTGGATTATCCTTAAAAAAAAAAAAATCAGAGGATTTGGAAACACTGTCCAATCTCACATGGCAGCTGCCTGTATCCCCCAGTAGCTGCCACCCTGGGTTTTCCTTTCCCTTGTTTACATTCCCTGCCTGGCCCCTGTCTGCAGGAGTGTTGAACCTTGCCTGCCTCTTGGCTAGGTGAGGCTGCCCTCATCAGAATGGCATGTACCTGCTCAGCGGCTAACACACGGTGCCACCACTTGTGGCTTCTTGTACTTCTGGTTTTCTATCTTAAAAATGGGAATTGTATCTGGCACCTTTCGTCATGAAAAATTTGACAATTAGTGTGAAATTTTAAGAGTACTTCAAAGTAAAATTATTTATTGCTATTTTGGTTAGTACATTTAAAAAATATTTTGTTTCATGATTTTAGAATGGCTCTATAGCAGACACTAACTGTTTCTTTAGTCAAACCTTAAATATGTTTTAAATGAGGTTTTTGTTTGACATGCCTATTTCTTAGAAGCTTTTAAGCCAAAGATAGAAGTTTGAAACTAATATATACTTCCATATTTATGTATAAATATTCTAATAGACTTTTATGTGTGTGTATACACTTATCTACTTATGGATATATTAATCCAGTTAATACATCTTAGCTTTAAGTGATTTTAATAAAACTGTTCCTTGAATAACTTTTCATTTCTTTATAAGTTTTCAATAACTTATTTGATAACTTCTTAACTTTTAAAACCAAGTTTAGGATGAACCAAAAACTAGAGCACCACATGTGTGAATATTAACTTGAGATGAATGGTCTTTCTTTTCAGAATACGTCAGGAGAATGATATGGTTGATTCAGCGCCTCAGTGGGAAGCTGTATTAAGGAGACAAAAGGAAAAAAATCAGGCGGACCCCAACAACAGACGATCCAGACATAGATCTCGCTCGTACGTGGATTCTTTTTGTAGCTTTCTTCAAAAACACTGAGCTTGAAGTAGCATGCAGATTCTTGGGCAGATTGGGCTGTCTCTTTGAGGTCTAAAGTGATTGTAGTTCAACCATGATTGTCCCATTGTTTGTTTGTCATATTTACCTTCTTATGTTTGTGGCACTCATTAACTATATCTGAAGCCATAGAAGTTGGAGAAGTGCCAAAACAAAATGTCAGAAACGAGGCTATCAAAACTATGTTTTATTTTGTTTTGTTTTGTTTTTAAACAAAGCATACATTCAACCGAGTAAGTAGGCGTAGTCTTTGTTCTGGAGCCTGGCTCTTGGTGAAGTACCTGCTGTTTCTCTCAATTGGAGTCTGCAGAATTCTCTGAAGTCTTGTTTGAGATTGAACCAGATGTGAATACCTTCCTATTAAATTACCATTTGTGAGCAGTAGTCAGTGAGTGATTCATTACACCCCAATGTTGGGATTTGCCTGCTCCTTCTGTTGCTAGGCAATGCCATGTGTGAGCACAATTACCCGTAATAATAAGATTGCCAGTCCCCCAGATTAATTTTCTTTTGAGCTGATAAAATTTTTATGTTTTTTTTAAATGTGTGCATCATCCAGATTTAGATATCCCCATCCCCACACCCCTTCTCAAAGCTTACCTTTTGAAAGTGAGCTGGGACTAACTGCCCATCCCTTTGTGATCTTAGGTGGTTAGTTGTCTGGTGTTGCTTATTTGTGGAGGAAGGGATTAGTGTCTCAGAATGGTGGAAGGATGCCAGGGAGTGGATGCAGAGACAAGCTGTAGGTAGGTGAGGGGCTTCCAGGGAGTCAGGCAGAAGGGTGCAGCTCAAGTTAACAGAGGCCAGGAGAGGATTCTAGATGATAGACCTCAGAACCCTGTGTGACTCTAAGGGATGCTTTTTAGTCTTAGATGCTTACTTTTTAATTGGAAGGTATCCTAGAGTTTGCTTTTATCGGTAGTACATCATATTGAGTGATGTCTGCTTCTTTTGTAATAAAAAATTTGCAAGTTGTCACTATGCAGTGTACCACTCCCTTACAGATTTATTCATTGCTCCATAATGTTTTTGTTGTGGAACCTAATTAAAATATTCAATTTAAAGCAGAAGTTAATAAAAAGCTTCCTTTGTCTTGGATACCACCTTCCCCCAGCTCCATTATAAAATAGAGGTTTAGAACTGGAAGAATCAAGACCTCATTGTTGACAGTTTAACCCAAAGGCACAGAATCCCCAAGATCAGGATGCAACATACTCATGGGTAAATCTTTTATAATCACGCTTTTACCTTTCCATGTGGAATCTTCTTCTATGAGGGACTTTCTATACACAATGTTTGGTGACTTGTTAAATCTTAAAAAACATGTTTAATTTTTCTAATAATTTCTAAAACATTCTAAATTCAATTAAATGCCAGTACTAAATTTCATTTATTAAAAAGGGAAAAGTAAAATAAAATTAGGAAAAATTTTATATATAAAATTTAAGGAGGTCAAAAAACATTACTTGAGGCAATATGTAAAATTTTTGAGTAATAGTCCATTGTATGATTATACCACAATTTGTTTATCCAGTCTTCTCTTGATGGACATATGGATGGTTTCCAGTTTTTGCTATTATGTTAAAAGTTGCTATAGATATTCATACAAGTGTATCCCTGGAGTATGTTATTTTATGCCCTGGGATAAATACCTGAGTGGAATTGCTGGATTAAGGGATATTTCTAACCATATTATATGTAATAGTAACTACCACCGTGATTTCCAAGGAGGCTGTATCATTTTACACCCCCACTAAGCAATGAATGAGAGTTCTAATTCTGCCCCATTCTTGCAGATACTTAGTTTTGTCTTATTAGTTTTAGGTAGTCTACTTGGCCTGAAGAGGTATTCCATGATGGTTTCGATTAACATTTGCCTGATGACTAATGATGTTAACCACATTTTCCTGTGCTTTTTGGTTGTTCATATATCTTCACTTTTAGTGTTGAAGTTTTTGCCCATTTTAATTGGATTAAAATTAAGGATTAATTAAGGATTGTTTCCTTTTTATTATTTACATGTAGCATTCTTTATGTAGTCTGGATATAAGTTCTTTTTCAGATATGTGTATGGTGTATATTTTCTTCCTGGCTGTGGTTTGCTTTATCATGTTCTTAACATTGTCTTTTGATAAGCAGACTTTCTAAATTTCAGTGAAGACCAGTGTATCATTTTGTTTTCATTTATAGTTAAGGCTTTTTTATATCTTAAGGAATATGGGCCTACCCTAAAGTTGCAAAGGTGTTCTCATATCTTTTTCTAGCAGGTTTATAGATTTTGCTTTTGTATTTAGGTCTGTCATCCATCTAGAATTAATTGTCCAGTATGTGTGAGGTAGAGGTAGATATTGAGAAGTTTTTTCCAGTTGTTTATGCACTATTCCAGTACCATTTGTTACAAAAAAGACTATCTTTATTGAAATGCCTTGGGGCCTTGGTTGAAAATCAATTGACTGCTTATATGTGGGCCATTGATCTAGTTGTCTATCCCTAAGCCACCAAGTTGTCTTGGTTACTGTAGCTTTATAGTAAGACTTGAATCAGGCAGTGTAAATTCTCTAATTTTTTTTTCAAGATTGCTTTAGCTATTTTAGGTCTTTTCAGTTCTGTGTGAATTTTTGAATCAGCTTGTTAGCTTCTACCAAAAAGTAAAAAATAGACTTTAGACTTACGCTGAATCTACAGGTCAGTTTGGAGAAAATTCTTAACCATCCATTTATTTAAGTCTCTTAACAACTTTCAGCAGTGTTTCTTGGATTTCAGGACAGAGTTATTGCATTTATTTTGTTACTTTTAACCCTAAGTGTTTAATATTTTTAATGGTACTGAACTGTCCTTTAAAAAATGTTATTCTCCAATTGTTGGTTAGTAGATAGGAACACAAATTATTTTTTGATATTAATATTGTATCTTGCCATCCTGCAACCTTGTTAAATTGATTTCATATCTCCAGAAGCTTTTTTTTTTTTAATTTCTTAGAATTTCCCACATTTACAGTCCCATTGTTTGTGACCAGGGACTACTTCCCTTTATTTCTATTTTTTTTCTTTTTATTTCTGTTTTTTCCTTAATGCACTTGCTAGGTCTTCCATTTTAGTGTTGTATTGCAATTTTGAAAAGAAGTGTTATGAAAGGAGACCTCCTTGGCTTGTTCTTTTTCCTATAGAGGAAATGTTCAATATGTTAAGTATGATGCTAGCTGTAAGACTGAGGAAGATCCATTCTGTTTCTAGTGTAAGAGGTTTTTTTTTTTTTTTTATCATGAATGAATCTTGAATTTTGTTACAAGCTTTTTCTGCATCTGAGGTGACTGTATATGGGTTTTCTTCTTTATGCTGTTAGTGGGAGAATTACAGTGATTTGCTTTGAATGATACATCCTTGCATTCCTGAGATAAGCCCTCAGGGTCATGATGTATTATCTTTTCTGTATATTGTGGGATTCTATTTGATACTATTTTGTTGAGAAACACTGGTCTATAATTTTCTTGTAGTAAGTATCTTTGTCAGGTTTCTGGCAATGGGGTTTTACTGGTCATTTAAAATAATTTGGGAAGTGTTCCCTTTTTCTTCATTTTCTGAAAGAGTGAAGTAAAAAATTAACATTATTCCTTCCTTAAATATTTGATATAATTCACCAGTAAAACCATCTCTGTCTGGAATTTCCTTAGTGGAAAGTTTCAAATTATAAACTTGATTTTTTTTTTATTTATATATGAAATTTATTGTCAAATTGGTTTCCATACAACACCCAGTGCTCATCCCAAAAGGTGCCCTCCTCAATACCCATCACCCACCCTCTCCTCCCTCCCACCCCCCATCAACCCTCAGTTTGCTCTCAGTTCTCAACAGTCTCTTATGCTTTGGCTCTCTCCCACTCTAACCTCTTTTTTTTTTTTTTTTCCTTCCCCTCCCCCATGGGTTCCTGTTAAGTTTCTCAGGATCCACATAAGAGTGAAACCATATGGTATCTGTCTTTCTCTGTATGGCTTATTTCACTTAGCATCACACTCTCCAGTTCCATCCACGTTGCTACAAAAGGCCATATTTCATTCTTTCTCATTGCCACGTAGTATTCCATAGTGTATATAAACCACAATTTCTTTATCCATTCATCAGTTGATGGACATTTAGGCTCTTTCCATAATTTGGCTATTGTTGAGAGTGCTGCTATGAACATTGGGGTACAAGTGCCCCTATGCATCAGTACTCCTGTGTCCCTTGGATAAATTCCTAGCAGTGCTATTGCTGGGTCATAGGGTAGGTCTATTTTTAATTTTCTGAGGAACCTCCACACTGCTTTCCAGAGTGGCTGCACCAATTTGCATTCCCACCAACAGTGCAAGAGGGTTCCCGTTTCTCCACATCCTCTCCAGCATCTATAGTCTCCTGATTTGTTCATTTTGGCCACTCGGACTGGCGTGAGGTGATATCTGAGTGTGGTTTTGATTTGTATTTCCCTGATAAGGAGCGACGCTGAACATCTTTTCATGTGCCTGTTGGCCATCCGGATGTCTTCTTGAGAGAAGTGTCTATTCATGTTTTCTGCCCATTTCTTCACTGGGTTATTTGCTTTTCGGGTGTGGAGTTTGGTGAGCTCTTTATAGATTTTGGAGACTAGCCCTTTGTCCGATATGTCATTTGCAAATATCTTTTCCCATTCCGTTGGTTGCCTTTTAGTTTTGTTGGTTGTTTCCTTTGCTGTGCAGAAGCTTTTTATCTTCATAAGGTCCCAGTAATTCACTTTTGCTTTTAATTCCCTTGCCTTTGGGGATGTGTCAAGTAAGAGATTGCTACAGCTGAGGTCAGAGAGGTCTTTTCCTGCTTTCTCCTCTAGGGTTTTGATGGTTTCCTGTCTCACATTCAGGTCCTTTATCCATTTTGAGTTTATTTTTGTGAATGGTGTGAGAAAGTGGTCTAGTTTCAACCTTCTGCATGTTGCT